CTTAAACCTTTACTAGTTCAGCCTAAACACAGGTGACTATTATCAACTTTCACTATCCTTTCATTACAGAACACAAAGGTTTAACACCATAAACATGTAAAGAACCATCCTTTCAATAAATAGGTCTAGCTCTTTTCCCCATTTTATTGAGACATAATTGACACACAGCTTTCGCACATTAGTTTTAGAGTACAGGATAATGATTCAATATACATTGTTATTATTGAAAAATGATTGTCACAATAGTTTGTTAACATCTATCACCTCACAAAGTCAATTTTTTCTTGATGAGAACTTTTAATATTGGCTCTTCAGCAGCTTTCAAATGTGCATGAAGCGTTGTTCACTGTGGTCGCCGTGTCATATGTTGTGTCCTCAAGTGTAGTTGTCTTATCACTGGAGGTGTGTGCACTGGACCACTTTCTCCTGTTCTCCCCCACCCACGCCCTGCCCCTGGCAATCCCCAATCTGTTCTCTGTACGTATGAATTTTGTTTTTTTGATTCCACATATAAAGGAGAACATACAATGTTTGTCTTTCCCTCTCTGAATTATCACATTAGCACAATGCCATTACGTTCTGTTTATGTTGTTGCAAATGGCAATATTTTCTTCTTTTTATGAATGAATAATATCCCAGCACATTTTCTTTATGCTGTCATCCATTGATGAATATCTACACTGGTTCCTTGACTCGTATACTGTGCATAATACTGCAGTGAACATGGGGGTGCAGGTATCTCTTCAAGATAGTAATTTTATTTCACTTGGACCTAGATCCAGAAGTGGAATTGCAGGATCCTGTGGTAGTTCTATTAATGTTTTTGAAGACCATCTCTGCTGTATTCTGCAGTGGTTGCACCAAACCTGCGACTGGATGAATTTAACTGCTGTTTCTTTGATTTTCCTGATTCTCTTTTCTGCTTCATTTGGTCTACTGTTCAGCCCTTTCTTTGATTTTTTTAGTTCAGGCATTGTATATCTTCACCTCTGTAATGAAGATATACAATGAGTGAATTTTATAATTCAGTCCTGTTCTAGCACTTGATGGTCTCTCCAAACCTTGTGAGTGTTCAAGCTGCCTTGTCTGTTCTTGGTGGCCCCCAGTTGTTGAGGTGACATTTCAGTGTACCAAGGGGACAGTGTCAGTCTGCACCTAGGTGCAGCCTGCTTGAAACATGCATCTTTTCCAGTACATAGTTCGTTAGTTATTGACCAGTGAAGGGAGCAAATGGGATCAGACAGTAAGCCTGATTAGCCAGGAAGAGGAAGCTTCACAGACACACGGGGAACAGCAGCATCCTTGCCAAACCACCACTAATCCCCTAGTAGGCAGGAAAGACCAGCTTTGCAATCTCCCCAGGGAACAACAAGGTGGGGGAAGGAGACACAGTGAGGGGGAAATTCCTCTGCTGAGGCATGTGCAGTAGCAGCCTAAGTGGTGACTACAAAGGGACAGGGACAAACCTGAGAAGACAGATTAGGTAGCAGTTGGCACCAGCATAACCCAGGGAAGATCCAGGAAAGGAACTGGATAGTTCGAAATAAAGCCTGCTTTAGCCCAAGCCCAAGGAAATATAATCAAAGCTTAACAAAGTTTGAGGGGCATCCAAACTCTTTCTCTCTTCGGCTGTCGTGCAGGCCCCAGCACAGGGTCATTGGCAGGCTGGTTGGGAACAAAAACTGTGCTGGACTACTGGGGCTTCGTATGCCAGGCTAAGGGCATGGCAACTCTGGATCCTGACTGCCCTCCAGGACTTGGAGGGCCCAAGGGCAAGCCTGCAGCCCCAGAGGCTGGAATTCTTTCACAGAAGGAGCTGAGCAACCTGGTGATGGATAAGACGTTGCCTAAGCCCTTCCTTTGTTTTTGCTCCAAGAAATCTCGCCACTATGCCTTAAGTCCTCCTAAGCATGTATCCTGAAATGCACTTCCTGTGATACCGTGGATGAATTCTATTTCCTCTGGCAACAGATCCTCAGGTAGAAGCCTGTAAAGTATATAGACCTTTTTCAGGGGAAGACGGGGGAATGAGAGATTCTGACTGCTGTCTATGTTTTTTTTGTTGCTTGTATTCTACAGACCTGTGAGATTCACTAACACAAGCCCCATGGCCACCAGAGCCAGGTCATCAGTGGCTACATCCCCTGAGCAGCAGTCACAAGAGCTAAGGGAGCAGACACGTGCACAGGCTCCTTCAGGGGGACACCAGGACCCGGAGTGCAGCAGAGGGAGAATGTGCAGATGACAGGGCTCAGCTCCCTGATGTCTGGAGAGGACTGTTGGTCCTTAGATGTGGGTTAAATTAGGAGTCTGGCCCTCAGACTACAGCTTTTACAGAACGTAAATACTGTACGCCTCTTTCTATGAAAGACTAGGCAATGGGCATTTCTCTCTGCTGCCACTGTGCTGAGCTCAGAGTGTTGGGATAGACAGGCAAGTTAGTCCTCACAGCCCACTGAGAACTGCATCCTTGTTCACTACAGTGCTGTGGGCGTTGTGGATCCAAGCCCCAGTGGCTTTCAGATCTACTTGTTTTGGGAGCTCATCACTCAGGGGAACTTCAACAATTAAGGTGGTAGATTCTACTTGTCAAGGAGACACTGGGATTTGTGACTCTCCCGAGTGTAGGTCTCTGTGCTGAGGGTGGGGTTAAGGATGAGATTGTGTCCCATTCTCTCCTCTTTGTTTAGATGTGAGTATTTTCCCTTGGGTATCCAATGAGTGGGAGTGTCCCAAATAGTCTCCGGATTTCTTTCTCAGGGAATTGTTCCCCTAATAGCTGTAGATGCAGTGAGTCTCTGGGGAAAGGTGAGTTCAGGTGCCTCCACATTCTTGAACCATTAGGTTTTACTTAAAAGAACAAAATCTTATTTTTCTCATTAAAGCCAACAAAGGCAGCAAGTTCGAGGTTCAATGTTCACAGGGAAGCCCAAACCCGAGGCAACAGGATTTTGGAGAGACAAAATTTATTCGTCCAGCTGCCAAACCAGGAGACAGAGGTGGCTCAGATCAGTCCCTCACGCACCACAGAATACAGACTTAAAGCAAGTTTTAAAAATAATGTTAAGGAGGACATTATACATATTTATTAAATCTAATTCGTGAGTCTTGACTGGACAATTTTGGAACTAAGTCATCAAAGAGAAGGAATGGGAAAGGTGAGAGAAGGTATAAAGGAATTCCTGCGGGCAGGGTCTCATCGGGTGAGATCTAGGTGCCCCACCAAGCACAGATTCCTGGGCCTCCATCACGTCTGACTACTGTCTCTGAGGACCGAGCCTGTGCTCAGAGTTTCTGACTTGGCATGAATATAGCTTCGGGCCACCCTTCAGGGTTAGTTGGAGCTCTTTTGTCGGCTTTCAGAACATGCCCTTTGCCTCTGGGACCACTCTGATGTGGTTTGGTCTTGTGTCCCTGAGACTCTGCTCTGTGAGGAGGCCTGCTGTAATAAAAGGGGGAAAAACCCAAACTACTAGGGTCTGGTTTCAGTGTTAGAGTCTAGTTTCAATTATATTGTGATGTGCTCCAGTTTTCCCTCATCCTGGCGATCATGTCCCCAACTTTGAAGCAAATGTTGCTCTTGCTGTCTTTAAAAAGATTCTTGGATCCAGATGCCAAGCTACAAGTAGGGAAATTTTTTTCCAGAAAAGTCTGAGAACACCTTCAGGTAGCCAGGCCACTGCAAGACTTTCAGTGGAAACCCACAGATGGTATGCCTTGCTCACTGAGCAAAGGAAGAAAAGGATCTTATCACACACAACCTTGTTCCAGGCCCTGTGTGCCTCACACATGGCTCTCCCCTGTAAAGCCGCACAGTTCTTTGAGGCAGCATGATTCCCATTTTTCAGAGGGGGGAATTGGCTCAGACAGGCTCAGTGAGTTGCCCATATTCAAGGTCACATACTGAACCTAGGTATCTGAACCCAGGTGTCTACCAGACCTCAGAGGAGAACATCTCTGCCTGATTTCTCTCAAGACTTTGAACACACTCTTACTCAGTGTCTGAGGGATCACAGGATGGTGTGGTCCTTGAAGGCTCATTGGGTCCAGAGATTCCTACACTTAGACATTGTAGGCCAACACATTTCTGAAAAATAATTGTATATGTCAGTTTTCAAAGACAAAATGAATTTCAAATGCCCATCCAGTTACTGTAAATGTCATCTTACAGTAGAAAGCTAATACCTGGAAAATACAAAGAATATAATACATTTTTCTTTCATTAAAACATATTAATTGATTATCTATATTGAAAAATCACTTAAAATATCCAGAGATAATTCTAAAGGTATACATTAAGGAGATAGCATGTATTCAAGAAAGTCTACTAAAACTAGACAAGAAAAGTGAAATTCTGTGGTGTTTGAATCAAGATCCTGTCCCTCACCCACCTTCCACTCAACAAGGTTGTCACCTTGTTGACACCACTCCAGACGCAAAAAACCTGACCACAGGCCCAGCTCCCAGCTGAAACAGTTGAGGATTCTCAGCTCTCATGAAATTACTGTACTTCAGTTTAATACTATCCTTTAAGAGCATTGAAAAACATTATTTAAAAGGCACATCCGTTATTGAGCCAATGACAATATGAAGGCGGCTACCTCACTCATCAAACTGTACAACTTGGTCACAGCATTGCTTTCTCTTCCTGTGGCTCCTGGTCGATGGTGACGGGTAAAGGTCTGATGGCATTAATGTCACCATCCCTTCCATGTTCTCAATTCTCAGCAGCCCATTTTTCCTCCAATCACATTTAAGTCATGAGTGAGAGAGAATGGCACAGGTGACCATGTGGGGTTCTGTGTGAGATTCTGAGAGGACCACGGAAGAAGGCCCAGGTCTGGGGGCATCACAGACTGTGGGAAGGTGCACTAGCAGCCCATGGGCAGCAAGTCTGCTCAGGGAGATGCATTTGAAGAAGATTTTTTTTCCTTAGGCTGAATGTTTCCTAGAAGGAGGGTGACTGCAAGGATGGAGGGTGGAGTGTAGCACGGGAGGAAGATGGGGCTGCAGAAACATGTTCTCATTTAATTATCTGCTCATCATTCAAGAAGCATTCCCTGCATCTCTCCTGTGTTCCATGCTGTCCTCTTCCTGACACGCCTGTCATGAGAGAACATACACCACCTGGCACAGGACTCTGCCACCTCAGCCTTTCTCTCCAAGTACTGATACCCTTTCCCATCCCTTCCCCTCTGTCACAAGGAAGATCAGAGCCGGGACAGCTCTCAGAGCAGCAGGTTCAGGAATTCTCAACAATACTCCACAGTGGGAATTCTTAGTCCCAGAAGACATAGGGATCAAATAACGTAGAGATGGTCTTCAAGGGAACCACCATCTCAGCTGCCCCTGATTCAACTCCCTCCGCCCACTTCCTCCAGAGAAATCCTAAGATGTTGTGGAAACCCATTAAAACCTTTGATCCAGGCCACCTCCTGCAGTACCCCACCTACTTCATAGAAAGTGAGAATCTCTTAGAGGGATCTTAGAGACTCCTGAGGACATGTATACAGATATGTCACCTTCTCTACACAATGTTACCTCTGACAATGTGTGACCTGTGGACTGGCCCCTCCTTTTGACTTTGCCCCTTCTGGGACAGACCTTGGCCTGCTCTCCCCATCAAATACTTACAGTCAGGGTCTCCACTTCCTGTGGACATAGAGGACAGAGACACCAACCACCTGCAGCACTTTGAAGCCCAGGAAAATCCCTACAAGGACATCAGTAGGTACTCCTGGGCCTGAAAACAGAGAAACAGGAGGAGCCATTAGAGGAGACCATTCCCAGGAGCCTCTACTGGCTCTGTCTCAGGCTGCCTACACCCACCAATGCTCTGAATCTCTTCAATCCTGCTCTGCTCTCAGGCTCAAGGCAGAAACCAGGGTAAAGAGCTTCCTCATCCTCAATCAGCTCCTTCCTCCTTTGCCAGGGCTGTCTTCCTTAAGGGAAGGAGTGAAGAAAATGTGTGCTCAGCAACCCATGAGTACATCCCCTGGTTAACTAACTAGGACCTCCCCTGTGAGGCAGGTAGTACTATCCTCAGTCTAATGGGGAAACGAAGCTCGGAGAGTTTATGGAGGTCATAGATTAGTGAGATTCAAACCTAGAAAATACATCACTCTTGTCTATTTGATGATCCTAAGCCCTTGTCTTTTGTGGAAAAACAAGACCAGCCTCTTAGAGTTGCAGGAACAATGACCTTCTCATTAGAGCTGCAGCTGGAAAACATCCCAGGATTCAAAGAAATGATGTCGAAGACTGGGAGGAGCTGAGACATCATTCAGTAAGCTGTGACCCCAGGGTCGATGTCAGCTGAAACCTTTCTACTGCACACAGAAAGTCAGATCTGGGAAAGCACATTTTTAGATTCTTATAACGACCCATTTTTGCTTAAATAAAGAAACAAAGACATTAAATAATTCATTATAATTGAAATAATCCTTAATGTAGGATTGAAGAATTCACCCATTTCCTGTGGGACAGTGGAGAATGGCAATTCCCAGCTGAGAGGCTGTCTGGGACTTTCTCTCAGGGGAAGGGAAATTTGTTGTAAGTTTGCACCCCTCCTAGAGGGCAGCCCGGGTCAGAGGACTGGCTGGACTGGGAATATAAAGGCTCAGGCCCTCCTCTCCAAGTAAACAACTCTCAGAGACAGTTCTGTCCAGGTCTCTATGGAGCAGCCAAGTCTAGAGCCTGCACTGCAGTTCAGCAGCTCTGTCTCCTGCTCCTTCACTCCCTCAGGCATGTGGACCCTGACAGCTCCCCACAGGGAGCTCCCCACAAGCTTATGTCCATTCAGAGTCTGCTTCCCAGGGAAACCAACCTAAAGGAGCATGTCTGGAAGCCCTCTGGAGAACAAACATGAAAATGCAATTTAGAAATTGGGTCACTCATCAGCTGACTGGTCAAGAAGACTCAGCTCTGACTGGAGGAGGACCAGGGGTCAGCCCCTCTGGCCCTATGGATGTAATGGTTAAAATGTTCACTGGTGGTGAACAGGAATCTCTAACCAGGGCAAGGGAATAACAAGGCATCAGTCATTAGGAAACTAGTTGGGAAATGGTAAGTAAAAGGAATATGCGCTTGGATGGCTGCTCCAGGGACATCAGTCCTTTGGAGAAAGACAAAGAAGAGTTAAGAGGGATTAATTATAAGGTAAAGGTTAAGTGTGAACCAGAAGAGTTTTTTCACAGTACTGCAGATTGTTTTATTTCTAGAATCATAGAGCAGACAAAACTGAGATTTGAGTCAAGGATATAATTGTAGGAGTAGCAGGACACAGAGGAGATTGAACTCTCCACTTCAATAGGCCCTCTCTGCCAGAGCAGGGCCCTGATTAGGAGACAGGGGGCCCTGAGATAGAGGCCTATGGGTCAAAGCACTGAACAATCTTTAGTCCCATTTTGGGCTGCTGAGGACAATGGCAGTAGCACAGCTACTTAACTGCAACTATGGCCTCTCATAAACCAAGAAAAATCACAAAAGGGAAAGTAAATCTTACATACAACTCGCCTCAGTATTACTTGAAAAGAAAATGTAGAAGTCTCAAAATAACTGTAGGTGAAACAGAAGAATGCCCAAATCCTACTGCAGTCTTCCACATGGCACCTTCCCACCCTCACTCAGGGACAAGGCACAGGGCAGCTAGCAGAGGGGCTGAGAGCTACTGGGGATGCACCACCACCAATACTGAATCCACCCTAACTCTGAAATACTGCACAGTGTCCTGGAGATCAGAGCACAGACCATAGGAGGAGGCTTCAAAGTAAGTCTGCACAAAAGGGTTGGCACAGAATTCACATAATCTGTGACTGTGTTACCTTTTCTGGCAACAGGATCTGGTCATAGTGATTAAGAAGTGAAATGGGGACATGATCCAGGATTTTCCAAGTGGAGTCAATGTACTCACAGATCCTGCAAAGTGAAAAGGGAGGAGATGAGCCAGAGAAGGAGACATGATGACAGGGCCAGAGCTCAGAGTGCTGTGGGGCCTCAGCAGAGGGTGCAGGCAGCCTCTAGGGCTGCAAAAGGCAAGGACCTGGATTCTCCCCTAGAGCCTCCAGGGGCAGCCCAGTCCTGCCCACCCACTGAAGACCTCTGACCTCTAGAGCTCAAGATAATAAACCTGTGTTGTTTAAGGCACTGAATGTGTGGTGATTTGTTATAGTAGCCATAGGAAGCTAATGCAAAGAAGCAGGAATGTTATAAAAAGACAAAGGAGATTGAAGAGACAGGCACAACTTCTGTTGAGAAAAGGCAAAAATAACAGAAAAAAAAGGTTGTTTGGCAACTGCATGTTAACTGGAAATAGAAATAACGGATGTGGGAAATTTAGAATTCTAAAGACAAAAAAGAACAAAAACTATGAGGACTCAAAGCCATCTGTTTAATGAAACCAGCCATCTAGCATAAATATGCAGTGATATATGTAGATTTTGCTATACTGACAGAAGATAAGTTCATTCATCTAGGAACACCTCAGTACCGTAAACATGACCAAAAAGATGTGCATTTTTATGCCACCCCCATTGGCCCAGGACTGCAGTAGCCTGAATCCTCAGATGCTGGTGTAGACTGTGACATTCCAGTGCAGAGGGTCATGTTTGTATCTTGCACTTTGCTTCAGCCAGTCAACCCAGACAGCCCAAAAACCATTTCGAGGTTAGTTCTCAGTAGTGTGTGGGGCCAGGCCCACTGAGGGCACCTGGAAGTAACTGCCTGCTCTGAGACATGTGAGAGGTGGAGACTCAAAAGCAAACCCAAGGTGGTGCAGGGAATGTGGCAGAGGCTGATCTCTCCTGCTCTCCTTGTTCAGCACTGCTCTGACCCCGAGATAACACCAGGTTCCAGCACAGGAGGACTGGAGACATGGAAGAAAAGGCACACTAGCTCGGGACCTGAGGATGGGAGAAGGAACTCGGCATTCAGGCATTGGAGGTGGCACCATCCTATCACCCCAGGCACAGAATGCAGCCCAAAGTGTGGCATTTAAAAAGTCTAAAATCAACAATCTATGTTACCACCCTCAAAAACAAGAAAAGGGGGAGCAAATTCAACTTAAGCAAGCAGCAGGAAGGAAATCATAAAGAAGACAAATATTGATGAAATTGAAAATAGAAAAACTCACTAAAACAACAAGTGGGATCTGTGAAGAAACCCATACATTGAAAATTTTTCTATCAAGACTGATGAAGAAAAAAAAGAATGATGCATTTTCATGTCAGGAACGAAACGGGATAGAATCACTGACCCTGCAGGCATCAGCCATGTATGAGGGAATCTCTGAGCAACTCTGCAGGCAGATGGGTGTGATAACTGCTGGTCCACTCTCCCAATCTGGGGAAAAGGAGGCCTGTGCTGGGACCACCCATGGTCACTTGGATGACTGTCCTGACTCAAACTCCACGTGCTCGGGGCTCCCCTTCTGGAATTTCACAGAGCAGCAAGTTCAGGCATTTGCTGGGTGACCATACTGATGGGGATGGAAAAGTATAGATTGGAATGGAGACCTGGAGGAGGTTGGAAAGAGCAAGGAGGAGGGAGGGGCTGACATGGACAGTGGGTGCAGGGACAGTTAGGAGAAGAAAGGGACAGGCCGGACACTGTGAACACACCACATCCCTCCCTCTTTCTTCTTTTAATGTGTATTGCTGTGAAAAGATCTGTAAATACATCTACCAAATTCTTACCAGTGGTGACTCTTTCAGTGGGGTGTTTGTGGAAGAGGATCTCCCACTCAAATTCTACTTTCTATTAATAAACTTCAAGATTTTTCAATAATAAGCACTAATTACTATTTATAACAGTAAAATTTAAATGGAGCTGAGTGAGTGGGAGTGGATGCCTCTCCCTGGACTCTACCTTTGTCCTTCTGCTGAGCAGAGAACTCCAAGGTGAGGTTTCTGCTGATGGCCGGCTGCCCATCGTGCCGCACCAGACATGTGAGCACCACGGCCTCCCCGTGGGCAGATGAGTTCACCAGGATCCAGCTCCCCCAGGTGAAGGTCGCATCCTTGTTCTCTGTGCAGGTTGAAGGCGTTTCTGTTCAGGGACATGTTTCCATTCTCCAACCAGCTCAGCTGAAGGTGCTGGGGGTAGAAGTTCTTCACCTGGCAGATGAAGATGTTCCCCTGTTTCTCTGACACGGTGTGTTGGGTAATGTCCAAGGTGGGTGAAACTGAAACAGCACAGGGCAGAGACTCTGGCCTCAAGGACACACAGATCACAGAGGAAGGCTCTGTAACTTAGCTCCCCCACCACAGCAAGAGGACACCCAAGAGAGTGCTGGGTAAGCAGCAGGTGCTCTGACACTGAGGGTTCACTTTGAATACAAATGCCATCACTAGGCATAGTGCCCTGCACACAGTAGGTGCTCAGGAGTGGAAACTGCTATTAGGGTGATATGAGTGAAATCAAACCAGCACAGCCCTGGAATGCAGTAGGAATGTAATAATTGTAGCAAAATAAGTGAGATCACCAAGCATATAATGGCTTGGTTTATAGTAGGTGCTCAGTAATTGGAGTTGCCCTTGGTAAAGCAGATGAAACTACCAAGTACAATGAATTGTAGGTGTTCCTCTGGTAACTGCCATTAAACAGTGGTGAATGACAGGTTCATCCAGGTGTCTGGGGATGGGAAGGGTTGTCAGGAATTAGATTCCAGGGAAATTAAGTTGGAGCAAATGGCAGGGGGAGGAGCAGGTTTGGAGGGTAGGAGCCAGGTATGGGCTGGGGGTGGGTGTGAGGGACATCTACCTCGGATGGTCTCAGACAGGTTGGCAGTCCAACAAAGAGGAGGGCCCCCCTTCAGGGTGACATGGTCCACCTGGCAGATGACCTGGGAGCGGACATCCTCCCGGGCCAGCCGCACCCTGGCTGTGCTGGAGATGTTGTAGGAAGGGCTGTCTCCCTCTGGGTCCACAGTGGGCTGGGAGGCTGGGAGCTCATTCCCATCTTTGAACCATCTCAGGACGATGTTCCTGGGGGAGAAGCCGTGGGACTTGCAGGTGAAGCTCACTGTCTGCCCAGGTGTGGCCCTGCCTGTGGGGGCTGACACCACGGGGGGAGAGGGTTGGGCTGTAAAAGGAGCACAATGAACAATGAACATGATAGTGACCATCACCACCAGTGACAAGCATGTGACTCTGTAAGGATCCTTCTCATATATTGTTTTCTATCCTCTAACAATGCTGGGAGGGTGTGTCATCATCCCATCCATCAGAACGGGACACTCTGGTCCCCAGAGGTGAACCCTGAGTGAGGGGCATGGCCCACAGGCAGCTCCAGGCCTGAGTTCAAAGTGCACCTTCCTTCCTCCCCAAGTGACCTCCCACCTGCCTGGGCTGGTGAACAACAGCACTGAACGCTCTCCCTCTTCATATTAACTCCCCTGTCTGGCCTCCCCTGACACCTCCCCGACCTCACAGACAGTGTTCACAGAGTGAATGCAGGGGAAGCAGTGGGGGCAGGACCCCATGGAGTGGAACAGGCTGGCAGCAGAGGAGAGGTGCGGCCAGGGCACATCCCAGTCCCATCTGTGAGAGGGGGGGCAGCAGGCACTTCTCCTTTCCGGGCTACAGGGAGGGTGCAATCAGGCAACAGAAGTTGTTTTGCTTTGAATAAAACAGAAGATGTAAATAAACACAGATCCATCTTGAACCTGGATCTAATTTATATCCGGAACTCTCCCTTCAAGCATTAATAAGTTTACTCCATAATTTTCATTATTTCAACAAATACTTCACTAGGGATAAATCTGTTTCAATTGTTCAATTTCAAGGGATGGGTTTGGGATGATTTTCTGATTTTGAGTTATTCCTGGATAAGTTTTGGCTTCATAAAGAATAGTAAAAGAGATAGAGCCAAAGGTGGTTAATTTCCCAATGGTCACGGAAGGAGAAGAGACGCAGACACAGGCCTGTGAAGCAGGCAGACCCCCATGTCCTGAAAGGATCCACACTGATTCCAAGGGTCATTGGATAAAATCCAAGAGCAGTCTCTCCCTGTGGAAAGCTCCTGCAGGGTACCTTGAAATTGTTAGTTATCACCCAGCACCTCTAACAGGGGGTACACATCAAATATGTAAAAGCATTAGCATTTATAAAGATCTACTTTGGTTCCTAAAGCTCATCAAATGTTTTGAGGACATAGATAAGGGGGTGTCACTTGAATAAGTCAAGTCATAAGAACACCAGCAACCTAGATGCCACTGGGGGGATAGACACTGGGATTAGTTACCATGGATTGGGAGTCTCAAATCCGCTTTCCACAGCTACTCTACAAACACCCAGACGAAAATAAAAGCAAAGAAACCACCTACTTAGGGTTCTGTCACTTTTTTTTAATGATCCCCTCAGGAAACAAGTTTGGTGAATTGATTTTCAAAACACACAACAGGTCACAGGCATTTCCCTCCACATCAGCTGTTTACAGAAGCTGGGAGCATTTTGAGAAAGGAGAGCAGATTTGAGACCTGACAAGCTGGTATGTTGGGCAGGAAGGGCTCTGTTGCTGAGCAGTATTTGTGGGATTTCAGACTCAGGTTAGACACACACAGGGGTTTGAAGATGGAAGGTGTCCCCAGCCATGGAGCTGGGATCTAACAGGGTGTCTGGGCCTGTGCATCTTCAGGCCTGGAGACAGCCGGGGTTCCACTCTCAGCCCTGGTCTGCTCCGGGGGAGGGTGTCCCTGCCCCTCCACTCAGGCTCATTTTCTTGGGCCTCTGATGAGCTGTCTCTGGCACATGAGATTCTGAGGCACCTGTACCATCCAAAGGTGTTGTTCTCACAGCCCCAGCAGCAGGGGGAGCCACCTTGTCAGGGGAAAGAATACAAGGTTTCCTCTGTGACCCCAGAGAACATCTACCTCAGGGCCTTCTGCCTCTGGATAGTGAAGAACTTCAGCTGCCAGGCCCACATCTGACAGTTAAACCAGAATTCCCAGGGTGGACCCAGGGTCTGGGGACCTTTGCAACAATTCCCAGGTGATTCCAATGAGCAGGGAAGGGTGAACATCACAGAACTCCACCTTCAAACCCATCATATTGAGATCTGAGAAGGAAAGTAGCCCATCCAAGGTCCTATGGCTTTGGTGTGTCATAGCCTATAGTCATCGAACATCTACTATGTGCCAGGTACCACTCTGATCACTGCGCATGCATTCACTCACTCAGTCCTCAGAGCTGCTCTGTGAGGTTGGTGCTGTCCCTGACAGATGAGGACACCAGGCACAGTGTGGGCAGCAATGAGTCAGAGGTCACAGGCCAGGAAGTGGCAGAGCTGGGATCTGGGAACAGGAAGAGAACTTGGCCGATGCACTCACTTGCTGGGCACTGATGTTCAGTTACACCCTGGCCTGCCCACCAGTGGCTTTCTAGACATCCCCTCCTGTCCTCACAGACCCCTGAGTGGGAGCTGGGACTATCACCCCTGCACAAATGGGGACACTGAGGACCCCAGGGACACTGAGACTTGCCCAAGAGCACTCAGTGATGGGATGACACCATTGCTCACTGAGGCTCTGCCCTCTCACCAGGCTCACTGTAGCCTCAGTCCTTCCTGCAGAGGGTGGGGAGAGCATCCATGTCTGCAGGTGAGGACACAAAGGCCCAGCAAGAGAGAGTGGGCGACACTGTGAAATAACACCAGATTTGGGGAGCAACTCTGTGCTGGGAGATTCAGACAGAGCACCTCAAATCCTTCTACTCTGTAGAGGAGCCCATGATTATCACCATCTTACAGGGGAGCAAAGGGTGGCTGAGAGAAATGGAGGGGCTTCTCCTCACCCAGTACTAGGTTCTGGGGTATTTGTTGTGGCCCCCAATTCATGTCCATCCACTCAGGTCCCAACACTGGCTGCCTCCTGCTCTTTACTCTGTGAGAATTTTGACTTTAAGGAATAGTGGGGAGGAGTCAACTCCAAGTGACCAGGACTTGAGACCCTCTCCCAATAAACAAAAGACATGGCCTCCTGAAAAGAGTCTGGAATACAAACTCGGCTCATGCAGGGCCCCAGCGAGCCCCTAGGAAATGGCTGCCCCTCCTTATTCTGAGTCTGCACATCCAGGATTATTATTCAAGATGTTTCTGGGGGTGCCATGGCCCCTCTCTGTCTGTCAAGGCTACTGTCCCCAGGCTGCTCCTGCAGGTGCTCAGAGAAGGACAAACAGCACAACAGAGGGGAAAAGCCTCCTGGATGCTTCTCTGTGCTGAGCTCTCTCATTAGCAACAGGGACAGCACATGGTGAGACTTTTTGCATACCTGTCTGATCTACGTTGTAGAGTTGCCCTACCTCCATCACAGAACCTGTTCAAAAGTGCTTCCTGCTGAAGACAAAACAATTTAAATTTTAAAGGAGAGGTTTGGAGCTTTCTGCACACTTTGAGAAGCACCCAGGTTGGGGGAGGGTAACGGGGTGGCAAAAAGCAGGGCCTGTTAGTAAGGCTGTTTGGGGTCAATCTTAGCTTCCCTACCTGCTCACAAGTCAGGCCCCCTCTCTGAGGCTTAGAGTCTTCATCAGTCAACAATAACCTCTGCCACAGCGCTGGTCATAAGAGTAAATGTCATGAAGAAGATAAACCTCCTAGAACGCTGCTGCACCAGCACCCTCCCACCCCTCTGCTGTCTCACCCCGGCCATCCTCTGGGCAGACAGCTTGGGGAGGAGGAACCAGGACTTTACCAGGAGGCAGCAGACCTGAGATGGAGGCATACACTACCTGTGATTGCTTAGGCAACAGACACATTATTACAAACTACTGTAATATGAAAAAATTCAGGATAAAGCCACCTTCCCTGCCAATGTTCAGGGGTTGTGGGAGACTCCATTGCTACCACATCAAGGAGGAAAATTGGCAATGTCCACACAAATTAAAACCAAATACCCTCTGACCCAGCAATGCCACTTCTAGCGGGCATCTCCCTCTTGGCCAAGTGACACAAGGGCAAGGTTCTCCACTGCATCACTGTTCTAATAGCCACAGGTTGGGAACAACTTATATCCATCAACAGAATGTCAATGAACAATGCTGTCTCCATACGCTGGAGAGTGAAGCAGCTGTTGAAGAAGGGGCAGCTCTAGGTGCTGATGTGGATGCTTGATTTGGGGGGATGGGGCTGAAGGATCCAGTGGATTTCAATGACCTTGGGCTTCAGGGTCTGAATGTGAGGGGCACCTGAACCTTTGAGAAAACAATGAAAGGAATATTCTGGCTCTTTGTTCAGTGGTTTGGTGTAATGACCTTTTAATCTACACCTACTGTGTGCCAAGTCTTTCATGGAAAGAGGGTCTTACAACAGGACAAGAAGGAATGTTTCTTGGAGTCAGATTGGGCTCTGGGATGATGCCTTCACTCACTGGCCATGTGACCAGGAGCAAAGCTACTGTCACCTCTTGGTCCCATGCTCTCCTTTTGCATGGGGCATCAGGCAGGGTGGTCTAACAGTGCTTTGTGTTCAGACATCCTAGGATACAAGATACTGGGTCTCTGGCAGAAAACTCTAAGTGAACATTTTCACTGACTCAATGGGGTGACCTTGCAGGCACCCACATTTGGAACCTTCAACCAGAGCAGTCTGAGAAAACTCTACTCAGAGCCTAAGTGACAGTGTGACCGGGTCCCTGAAATAAAGGGGGTTTACCAGACAGACCCACAGTGAGCGCCCAACCTCTGGCACCTCCTCCCAGCAGGGCTGGCAGAGCAAACAGGGACTCTGTGCCCCTTAGGGATGGCTTCTCCTGTGATGCTTCTGAGGGGGAAATAAACAAACACATTCCCCCTCCCTGCCCTGCAAGGATCTCTCCCAATGGCAGGGAGGAGAAGAAAGCTTCATGGGAGAAGAGCTCTGCCTGCTCAGTCCCCTGCAGCTCCCACAGCACCCAGGGCAGAGCCCAGCTCCCAGCGGGTGTCAGTGAGTGTCAGTGAGGGGGGCTCGGCCACACTGAGGGGAGCGCTCTCTGGAGGAAGTGGTGAGGCCTGACCTTGTGATGGGCAAGTCCCTCAGACCTGCAGTTCCCTCATCCCTGGAACCAAAGGGCCAGACAAGATTGGAAAAGATAAGGCCAGAGAGGGGGGGCAAGCAAATGAGGGTTCCAGACTATTCCCACCATGAACCAGCCATGGGGACTGAGACGATAGCAGGATCTCCAGGCCTCAACTTCCCTGACCTGCAGGAGGGGTGACATTAGACCAGGAATCAGACCTTGACTATAAGCACCCAACACCATGCCACCTGATTCCCTAGTTGTTGCTACAAAGAATGAAGGTCATTCTTATCAATGTTGTCACACACCAGGGACATGAAGGGTCCCACTCTGTACTCACCACTCATGGTGAGCCGAGTGCCTGTTCCAGACTTGAGCTCCATGTTGTTAGGCTCTGATTTGCAGAACTTCACACAGTAGTAGGTGCCAGTGTCTGCTGGGGTGATGTTGCTGATGCGGATGGAAAAGTCCGTGTTGTTTCTCCTCATGGTGTCTGCAGCACTTATTACTCGGGGGGTGTGGCCTCCTTTCTGACTGTAGATTAACTCCCGGCCTGGCCCTGTCCCCCTGAACCACATGACAGGCCCCACAGGGAGAATGGAGGTCACACTGCAGCTCAGAGTGGCCGTCTCTCCAGCTGTCAGTGCCACTGACTTCTCAGGCTGAATCACCTGCAGCTCCTCACCTGCCCCTCCTGGAGGGAAACACAAAGCAGTTATTTATCCTCCGTGTGTGATCGTCTGGGTTTTGTCAAGTCTCTATCAACGACAGCTTTCATTGATGGAGTGCACACCCTGAGGGGGCCTGAGCTCAGCACATTGCATGTGTCATACATGTAACCCCCACAACATGCCTGTAATGTCACACCCTTATTATAAATGAAGAAACTGAGGCACCGAGAGGTAACCTGATGGGACAAAGAGTGGGTTTAAATCTTTCCCCGCCAAGCATTTCTATTTCTGCTTGGTGCCCACATTGGAGGGTGTGTGCTGGGCATTTCCCTGTGACACTTGTCTGCTCAGCTAACCCTAGTGACTGCTGGCGGTGTTGTAACAGGGCGCAGCCAAGAGGGGAGCCTCAAATAGGGATCTGTAATAAGATCCAGAAGAGCCTGGAGATAATTGGCTCCACACCACAGGGCCACACCTGCCCAGAATCTGGCAGCTGTAGCCAATTGTGAGAGGAGCCAGAAATGGGGCTTCAGAGGAAGATTGGCGCTGGGATTTAAACCAGGACACGGCAGCCATTGTAGTGGGGGTGGAGCTCTGCGCAGCCCTGAAGGAGGAGAACCATGCGCAGCCCTGAGAGAGAGAGAGAACCACACAGCTTTAGCAGGGTGAAGACTCCCGCGGCCCTGAGGGAGAGAACCACGCGGCCTTGACGGAGTGGAGACTCCCGTGGTCCGGGGAGAGAGGACCACATGCCTTTGCCAGGGTGGGGACCCCCGCAGCTTTAGGAGATACGGTACTCTGGACTGGGCAAAGGGGGAAGGAAGGAAGGTCTGTGTCTGTTTGTGGGTGCTTTAAGGGACTTTAGGATTTTTGGTGAAGACATTAGGTCCCTACTTAAAGTTTGTATAGCATTAAATAAACGTTTCCTTTCCTTTTCACAAATCTCTGGCATTGAGAGACGTCTTTCCTCTGGCGGCGGACATAACGGACCTGGGGGCTTCTTTCAATAATAGTATATCGTCCCAGGCCCCCCTTGTTTGTTCTGTAACAGTGTGACAGATGCAGCCTGAGGAGAAGGAGGGCATCCGTCAGTCCATCAGTGCCTGAGACACTAAGGCAGCCATGGCTGATCTTATAATGATGATGAAATAAGTTGCTAAAGACTCAGTGAATTTTTACCCCAACTTACCTCAACTTTTACCTTAACTTCAAGATCTCTGGTGAAAGGGACTGTGCTGCTGAACCTGAGCCTCAAGTGGAAATTGATGTAAAGAGGAATTTTCTAGGTAATGGCTCAATATCAGAATTCCTTCAGATTATGAAAAGAAAGTTTACACACAAAGAATAAGAAACAATGAGGAGCTTTAAGGATGAATGTACTTGGCTGGGTATGTTTTAAAGGAATTTGGCCCTGAAAGAAAACCTCATAGTTGGGGTTTTTGTGTTCCTGAAGTGGAGCTGTGTGAGTTCCTTATATATTTTGGAGGTCAAACACTTGTCTGAGGATCATTGACAAATATATTTTCCCATACGATTGGTTCCCTTTCATTTTACTGCTGTTTTCTTTAGCAGTGCAGAAGGCTTAATTTTGAAGAAGACTCATTTGTTTATTCTTTCCTTTATGTCCCTTGCTCTAGGGGACATATCAGTGAAAATATTGCTGTGTGACCACAACAGCATGGATGAAACCAGAGAGTATTATACTAAGTGAAGTAAGCCAGGCAGTGAAAGACAAATACCATATGATCTGACCTATAAGTGGAACCTAACAAATAAAACAAACAATCAAAGTATAATCAGAGACATTGAAATAAAGAACAAACTGACAGTAGCCAGAGGGGAGGGGACAGAGGGATGAAATGGAGAAAACGAGGAAAGGGCATCAAGGAGCAAGTATAAAGGACACACGGGCCAAGCCAAAGTAGGGTAGGAGTGAGGGTGGGAGGCGGGGATGGGTGGAGCAGGGTGTGGTGTGGTGGGATGAAAATGGAGACAACTTTACTTGAACAACAATAAAAAAATGAAAAAAAGAGAGGCCCTCATAAAAGCCATAGGTACTTGGACTAGGATTTGAACTGCAATGGCTTGTGTGTGCTATGTCCCCATTAACCCTGGATGCAGGCCAGGCTCATAAAGAAGCCCAGTGGTTCTGGAGGGAGAAGAAGAAAAGGAATGGAGGTTTGAAGAACATAGAATGACGAGGACCATTTGTTGCAGTGACTCTTAGGAAACCCAAAAGATCCTTACCATCAATGAATGTATCACCTGCTGTTCCTATGGTCCCTGGAGATCCTTCATTTTGGGACAGTTTTTGCTTCACAGAAGAAATTTTGATATAAAATGGTACAAAGTAATCATATGATAACAAAGAAGAATGAAACCTGTTTTGTATTATTTTGTAGTCAATAAAAAATGAATGTTTGATGCTATCAAATTTTATTTTACAAAATAGTTTGAAAAAGAAAAACACAATTTTTCCTATTTAAAAAGTGTACTCCCAGACTTGGCTGGTGTTGCTCAGTTGGTTGGAGCATCAACCCGTAGACCAAGGGTCATGAGCTTGATTCCCAGTCAGGGCACAGACCTAGGTTGTGGGTTTGATGCCAGGTCCTGTGCAGGTACCAGTGAACCCCATCTGAATGCATCTGATCCCCCACCCGTCCTGGTGCAGATACCAGGTCTGGGTGCATAGAAAGGGAACCAACTGATGCTTCTCTTGCATCAATGTTTCTCTCCCTTCCTCTCTCCCTTCCTCTCTCTCTCTAAAAAACCAAATGAAAAAAGTGTCCTCAGGCGAGGATAAAACAAAAAACGTACTCCCAGTTCAACATAGCTTAGTAGAAGACATGTTTACCTTTTCCTCCTCCCCAAATCGCATTGAACTCACAGAAGAAATAGCAAAGGGTGGCTGAATCAGTGATACAGGATGCCCCATTTTACTGCACTTGGCTTTACTGGACTTCACTTAACTGCACGTCACAGGTGCTGTGTGTTTTACAAAGGAAAGGCAAGAAGACCGCGCTCCAGCAGAAACACAACTTCCTCTGTTTCAGAGGTCTAAACTGTACCCACAGTATCCCTGAGGCAGCTTGCACATACTTGTTGCAAAAAAAAAAAAAACAACAGAAAATGAAATTGCAATAAAGAAACATTTAAATTTTGGTGTTTAAGACAAACTATATCAGAGATAACTATTTCTAAAACCTTTTTCTTGGCAAATAAATTCATATTAATGTACTCATTTTTCAAATGCAAAAGGGTAACATGATTATGTAAGTTTTTTCTGTTAACTGCACATCTACTGTTCATAAATGCCTCTGTGGCATAACTTTCACTGGCTCTACAGCATTCTATTCTACAGCTAATGTCAGTTAGGATACTTTTGACCAGAGGTAAGTGTCCAACATAAATGATTTAAATAACCAAGCACATTTATTATCTCACCCACATGCAGCTCAGACGTGTCATTAAACAAACTTTTTTTTTTCCTCAGCCTCAGTTTGTTTTGCCTTAGGTTTGTCTAATCATCCCAATGGTATATTTTCCATTCCAATAGTGTTCTTTGAAGAAATAAAAAGCCTATTTAGAAGTCCATAGATAATTTCAAGGGGTCTCAAATAATGAAGCAATCTTGAAAAAAGAATGTCCTACCTCCTGATTTAAAAACTTCCTACAAAACTAAAGTAATCAGTGCTGTCCTGTCATTAGAGTAGATGGAGAGACCCATTGAATAGAATAGGGAGCCTAGAAATAAGCCCTCACGTACATGGTCAAATAATCGTCCACGGGGATGCCGAGGACATTCAACAAATGGCGGTGGGAAACTGGACATCCACTTGCAAAAGAATGGAGTTTGACTTTATCTTACTTTTTTTTAACAAAAATAAATAATATGAATACAAACCCTAAATACCAGAGCTAAAACTTGAATATTCTTAGAAAAAAAGCCATAGGTGAATCTCTTCGTGACTTTGGATTTGGCAATGGTTTCTTGAATGTGACACTAAAACCACAGGCAATGAAGAAAAAAAGCAAAGTCCCTCAGAGGAGGAGCCAGCTGTGGCACCACAGATAAACCCTGTGTTCTTCTCTGTTTCTCAGTTTCTCCTCAGGGAGAAAATCTGTGGGTCACCTTTGCAGAGTGTGAGCTGGTGAAACCCTCCCACTTAGCACTGTGTGTGACCACACAGCCCCCAAGGAGGCCATGTGCTGTCACAGGGCAGGTTCTTTCTTGCCAAGAACAGGAGACTGACTGAATTTGAGGTCAGGAGAAGAAGGATGGGGACAGGGAAGCTGAACAGCTGAATGTCACTAAAATGGGAGTGACAGGAATGAAATCGGAGGGAGAAGTGGAGGGAACAGAGGAGGAAGAGAGAAGATGAGACATGAGAGGGTGGAGAGGAGCCGGGAATGACAAACTCTGAGTCTGTGCTTCTGTAAATCTCTCATCTACATCTGTGACCAGGCCTTTCCCTGAACTCTGGACTGTATGTCCAACTGCCCACACTATGTGTTCCTTCTATGGAAACAAACATCTCATAGTTAACATGTCCAAAGTGAACTCCTGAATTTCCCCCACAGCTCTCTCCATCTCACCTGAGCCACCTTCATTCTTCCAGATGCTCAGGTCACCAACATGCAGAGTCTTGCTCTCCCACCCTGAATCCTGTGCATCAGAAATGCTGTGGCTCCCCTTTCCCATGCACCCAAGTCTCCATCTTCCCCCCTCTCTCTACCAGCTACTGCCCTGGTACAAGTCATTTATTTGCATAATTGCTCTGTTACTTCTCTCTATCTCCTGCTATAGTCTATTCTCAGCCAAATGCTATGATAATTCAAAACTTATGTCAGATTAGATCACTTCTTTCTTTAAAACCTTGCACAAAGCAGGAAGATTCTACTCTCATGGCCTTTGCACGTTCTGTTCCCTGACAGGAAGGCTCTTTTCTGAGATGACACCGTGGCTCACTCCCGACCTTCTGTTAATCTGGCTCAACCCTCATTTTCTCAAGGATGCTCACCCAGACTACATGGTTTAAAGTTCATAGCACCTTAGAGATTCCCCCAATTCTCCTATTTAACAATGCTTTAATTTCCCACTAAATATTATTTTCTAATATTCCATATCATCTATTTTCATTCTGTCTATTGTTTACTGTCATTTCCCCACTGGGATACAAGCTCCATGAGGGCAGCTACCTTGTCTCTTTTATTCATCAGCACACACTGAGTTCCCATAATGTTCCTGGTATATCGTACAAATCCAATAAATATTTGAATTATGTGTGGGAATTGCCCAGTCAGACTCCTCCTGGAAATCTTGAAGCCTATTTTAAGTCAGCAAATCAATAGCATTTATGTCAGAAACTGAGTTTCCCACCTAGATGGTGTGGTGAAAAACAAAAGCATCTGGTGCATGTGCAGGAAGAGGAGTAACCCAGGAGCAGAGAACCACAAACCTCTCCCCCAGCACCCACCCCTCCTCACACCCACTGGTCCAATGGAACACATCTCATGGGATGGATGTGGCATAACAGGGACACTCATGAGCTCTAGGATGAGACTGTTTGGGTTCAAATAATACATAAATCACCTACTGTTGAGTGACCTTAAACCCCTCTGTGCTTCTCTGTTCTCTTCTATAGGTACAGGTGACAAGAGGACCTGCCTTGGATATAGTGACCATGACAGAGAGCACACACAGGAATTTCCAACATATCTGCACGTGGTAAGTGTTCAAGTGATTGAAAGGGCATTACTCATCATACTTCCTAGAGCTCTGATGCTTCATCTGACATTAGAGGATGTAGATGTAGATATGGATATCAATATATATGTAGATATATTGATATTGATATAAATATAATTATAGATGCAGACCATACAGGGAGGCATCTCTGTATCTGTTATCCACTTCTTTCCAGTCACTCCCATTCCTTATAAAAGAAGGAATCCAATATAATAATGCACACTTGTACTCATTTTACCAAGAGAGAAGCTTGTTTGTCTTAAGAATTCAGGGAAAGTAAAGGGTAAGTTTACGGAAGTTGAAAGGAAAGAGGCAACAGGGAGAACCAAACATCTGTTCATGTGCATTTCCTGTAGACTGACAAGGGTTTGAATTAAACAGCAAGAAAAGACTTTTCAGTAATCTCATGTGTCTGTGTGCATGCATTTACACCAATTGTACACACAAACACAAGGGTACACGTGCCATGAATATATATGGAAGTATGGCCTTGAATTCCAGTCATAGGTTGTTTTGAAGATTAAATGAAATGATTGCACATATTAAATGCTGAGAAACACACTTGGCACACAGGAACCATGCCACACACCACTAACAGAAGTTCCTGAGTAAACAGCAGAACCTGAACTCTGGGTCTCTGAGTGGCCTAATGGGAGATGCCTGTTCTTCCTCTTTACTCTCTGTGATTTCTGATCTCTCCGAAATCAGCCTCCACCAAGAAGCTGAGCAGCATCACATGGTTAAAAGATGAGCTCTGCAGCTGCTGTGCCTGGTCTTGAACCGAGCTGAACCACTGCCTAACACAGGTGATGCTGCCAATTTGCTCTCTCTGCTTCCATTTCCTATCTGTAAATCAGGGATAAAAGTCATAGTTCTCACACAGCCATATTGTGAGGATTAGAGGGGTTAATACTGTCACAGTTGTGGTTTGAAGTATTAGTTTTGATGCCTCTAGTAAACAGGTGCAGACAATGGATCCACGTGGGAGACTCCCAGATCCCAGATTTCATGCTCTCAGATAATGTCCTGTCCTTGACCCTCTGTGAAAGCACTGGGTAATGCACCCTGCTTTCCTGGAGGCCCTAACATTTCTGAAGGTCAGGAAGAGGTCCAGGGGCAGAAAGAGGAGATTCTACCCCAAGGCATGCTCACCTGTGAGGCCCAGCAGCAGAGCCAGCAGCAGGCAGGGGGGAGGGCGGGGCCAGGAGGCAGGGATCAGCATCCTGAAGGCCTGAGAAGCCTCCTCTCTCCTGATGTGTGCTGGGAGAGCCCGGACTGTGCTCTGTGAGAGGAGAGTGGCCCCACATCACAGGTTATAAGAGGAAGTGCCCAGGATAGTATTAAATGGCTGTGAGATAGTAGCCCACTTCCAGATTCGAGACAGTTTCTATTTCCAGATTGTGAAATAGAATGAGGAAGAGAGGGCAAATACAGGGTGAGGAGTTACTCATCTTACTTGTCAGGGAGACTTGGACAGGCCTAAGGAAATAGTGCTTCCTCTTTCCTAGGGCTTCTGATTCCCACTGGGCCCCTTGCCCCATCTGGTATCTTCACAGTGATGCCCCACTCAGGCCCAGGATGAGAAGTGTCTGTGAACGTGGACTGTGTCCTAAACTCCCAAGCCATGAACCTTACTATGTATGGCTTGTGGCCTCATCTGCACCAGTCTCACTAGGAGCTACACTGATGGAGGGAGAAAGAAGGTTCACCAAAGTCTGGCCAACATTGGGAAGGAAGCAGGTCTGGTCCTGAATGATTCCCTGTACCTAACTTTTATAGATAGGACTGGTAAAACCTAGCCCAATGCACAGTGCATCTGGATCTCAAAACTTGCATGTGCTTCCATACAACAAACAAAATAATATCCTGACTTCTTTCAAATGAGGGAGGACATTGTAGGACCCAGTATTATACTCTCAGGCTTTTACCTCAGTGATGAAATTCATGTTACAACCAAACCCTGTGTGCTAGTGTTTATAGCAGCTTTCTCTGTAATAGCAGCAAAAAATCACAAAGGTCCAATAATAAGCGAACTGTTAATCAAACTGTAATACCTTGTAATGCCTCCATACAAGGACGTGCAACAACATGTGAGTTTCTCAAAGGCATTATTTTGGGTAAATAAAGTAAATCTCAGAATCTCACACCCTATATGATTCCACCTATAACGTATTCTCAAAACTAGAGAATGAAGAGCAGACTGGCATTTGCAGAGGTTGGCACAGTGGGGGTGGGGTCACTGTAAAGGCGAGCACAGGGGACCTCTGTGGTCATGGAATTGCTCTGCATTCTGGTCATGGCAGTGGTGACACAAACATACACCTGAGGGACCAACATAGCACAGCTCAAAACGTTACAAAATTTAGCTGTTAAGTACCAGTTTCATAGTCATTGTAATGGAGAAATGGGCTACCCAGTTATCCCAAATTATGCTGTAAAGACATCGGGGTGATGGGAGTAGAAAGTGTGCATGTGTGACATGAGGTCAGGAGTAACACTTAGGTCCCATCTTCCTTAGCAGGAGGTCCACACATAAATCCTGAGGGCCAGAGATCAAGAAGTGCAATAGAAGTTCACTGTATGAGTTGTGACAGTAAACTCTAAAATAATCAGTTCACAGAGTGGAGAATGGTTGCTTCTTGGAAGTAGGAAACAGTGGGTGGCTGGGGAGAATCCAGTTTTCACATGTAGAACTTGTAGAACTCTTTGATTCTTTAAACACGTGCACATGTAACTGTCATAAAGGTTGAAACTAATGATAGATTATTACTGTCTAAAGTGTTGCAAATAAAAAGTGTACATACTGTTAGCACTAGTTAGCGTTTCATAAGCTTAGTGGATATAGAACAATGATTGAAATCAATTGTCATCCTAAACAGTAGTCAAAAAAACACTGAAAATAGTAATTATTACTCTTAAAGATTTCATGAAATAGAAAGTGTTATATGTAGCTCTAAATTAGAGATGCATAATAAGGCCATTAATGGGAAAAACCATGTAAAATTGTGAATTGAAAGTCGTAAGTGTAAACCTATGTAGATGTCCATCTTACAACAGAAAACGATAGAGCATGGAAAATTAATAAAATGGAGCTAAAATGATCAGCATTATGAAAACTCACAATACTGTGTTAAGCGCAAAAATAAAGTTACAGAATATTATACACAGTAGAATATTTAAATAAAATCTAAAACAAGCAAAATAATATTAATCCTCCTTAAATATTTACACATATATTGTAAAAGCATAAAATCCCACTGGAAAATAATAACACCAAATTGAGAACATGTTTTTCAAAATGAACACAAATCATAAGGCAAAATGTAACCATTTTGCAAAGATAGGGTAATGGGTCCATGGGTTTTTTTACATTATTCATTATATATTTCAGAATACCAAAATGCTTATTCAGCTTAGTGATTTTAGATATCTATGTGCCAAAATGAAATCATACTTACAAAATCTCTGTATAAAGTAAAATCTCTGAATATTAAGGGCTATTTACAATAAGAAAGAATGGAAACCCGTGCCTTGCTCAGAATGGGCCTCTTTTGGGTGGAGGCAAGGCCAGTTTGCAGCTCCATGCATCTAGGTCCAGATGTCTCAGAGTCCTCATGACCAAAGTCCATCCTTGACTCATGTTCATTATCAGAGAGCAGGACCATCAGGAGAGTGTGGTGGTGGCGGGGGAGACGTTCTTGGCTCAGGTGGGGCTGGTAGAACGAAGGGCCAGGGTCTTGGGCCACCTGCAGGTAGTTGCAGCTTCTTCTCTCCAATGGAGCCCCTTGGAAAAGGCAGGAGACAAGGTATCACAGGGCATGGAAAGATGGAGAGAAACTCGTTCATTCATTCATTCATTCAGTCACTCCTTTATTAACTCTGCAAATATTTATTGAGCACACACTAAGTGCCAAGCACTTTCACCTGAATTGGTGGCATAGATCAGAAATCAAGCCCATACTCAGTTTACCTGAACCCCTCCTCTGAGTTCTGCTCCCCCTTTCATACCCACATTCATCTTCATCACTGGTCAGCACGTCCAAGTCTTTTGAGTTTGTATTGGTTGATTTCAGTTCTACTTTCCTGTTTATACCAAACATATATCATATGCAAACTAAACTATATAACACTTTATGGACAACTCTTTTTAGTTTGGGTCTTTAAACTTTGGCCTTTATCCCTCTTCCACACTTTGGACCACCATCTCCAGGGACCCAGGGAACTTTATTTGAAATCTTCAAACTCTAGGACACAATGCAATGTGAAAGAGCTGGAAGCCACTGAGATTGCAAAGACATTTAGAGAGAATAAAAGTTTTCATAACCTTCTGTTGAGGCTGAATCAATCTTGTGGTGACCATGTGACTATGCAGCCACACCTGCACTTCTCCTGCCAGCCCATGAGGTTTGCCCTGACCTTCCTCTTTAAGGACTAAGGCCTGCCTCCAACTCACCTGCTACAGGTTCCACCACCCACGGATGTAGGTTACTATGAAACCCATCACCAGCAGAACCTTGAGACTCAGGAGGAACACCACAAAAAATAATGGCAGATATGGACCTGAACACCAGTGGACAGAAGGAGACATGAAAGGGAGCTCTGTGAGTTTAAATACCTCACACCACTTAGGAGACAGAGGTGACCCAGCTGCTCACAGGAGTGGAGGTGCATGAACTTCTATGCACTCCTAATTGACTCTATGTGGTGTGGCTGCTGTGGACAGTATGAAGTTGGCTGGATGGGAGGATGTGTTTCATGCTGCCCATACAGGTGAGCACCCTCTGCAGAGATACATTCATCAATTGCAAGCTTTCCATGCTTTAAGTCCCATTGTTCTTCTGCATGGATGTGCGTTACTTAGCTCCCTTGAACATATGACAGTTCTTTAGCCAGGTGAGATGCATGTTCTGTGGATAGAATCTCTGCACCAGGCAGGTAATAGCCACCAAGTCTGAGGAGGGTGAAGACTGGGACACTGTCACTAGAGGGGGGACTGACACAGCCCAGAGAAAGATGAAATTACTGCAGGACATTCACTGTGGGAGACTGGGGACTCCTTGAAGATGGATCATCTGCCCAGGGCCTGTCACAGAGGAGGATATAGGCATTGGTCAACAGCTGCATGTCTAAGTAATGCAAGAATAAATGAGAGTGTGAATGCATCAGTGAATGTGTGCTGGGATGGGTGGATGCCTGAGTGGAGAATCAGTGGGAACCTGAATGGGATCAAAGCAATCCTACACATTTTTTCCAATTCATTTTTAAAGTATATTTTATTGATTATGCTATTACAGTTGTCCCATTTTTCTCCCCTTTATTCCTCTCCACCTTGTACCCTCACCAACATTCCCTCCACCTTAGTTCATGTCCATGGGTCATACATTTAACTTGGCTTTGTCATTTCCTACACTATTCTTAAACTTCCCCTGTCTATTTTCTACCTACAAATTCTGCTTCTTATTCCCTGTACTTCCCCCGACCCCATTCTGGCCTCTCCCTGTCACCACTGATAACCCTCCAGGTGATCTCCATTTCTGTGATTCTGCTCCTGTTGTAGTTGTTTGCTTGGTTTTTGTTTTTGGCTTTGGTTCAGTTGTTGATAGTTGTGTGTTTGTTGTCATTTTACTGTTCATAGTTTTGATCTTCTTTTTTTTTTCTTAGATAAGTCCCTTTAACATTTCATATGATAAAGTCTTGGTGATGATGAACTCCTTTAACTTGACATTATCTGTGCAGCATTTTATCTACCCTCCAATTCTAAATGATAGCTTTGCTGGATAGAGTCATCTTGGATGTAGGTCCTTGCCTTTCATGACTTGGAACACCTCTTTCCAGCCCCTTCTTGTCTGCAAGGGTTCTTCTGAGAAATCACTGATAGGTTTATGGGAACTCCTTTGTAGGTAACTCTCTGCTTTTCTCTTGCTGCTTTTAAGATTCTGTCCTTATCTTTAATCTGGGTAATGTAATTATGATGTGCCTTGGCATGTGCTTCCTTGGATCCAAATTCTTTGGGACTCTCTGAGCTTTCTGGACTTCCTGGAAGTCTATTTCCTTTGCCAGATTGAGGAAGTTTTCCTTCATGATTTGTTCAAATAAGTTTTCAATTTCTTGCTCTTCCTCTTCTCCTTCTGTTAGCTTTATAATTCAGATGTTGGGACATTTATAGTTGTCCTGGAGTTTCCTAAGCATTTCTTCATCTTTTTGAATTATTGTTTCTTCATTCTGTTTTGGTCAAATGTTTATTTCTTCCTTC